ATGGAAAAAAAAAAACAAAAAACAAAAAACCCAGGAGTCAGATATATACCATACCAATCAGGCATTTAAACACCAGAATGCACACCAAAATTCAATCCCACGGACATTTTTCATTCTAAAGAAAACCCCCATGGGGACCTTTGCTTACTATTCTTATTCCCAGCATAAAGGTAAAATTGGTAAGAAAAAGTTTCTCTTGACAACAGTCACAGTGTTGTAACCTGCTAATTCTCAGTTCTTTCACTCATCAAGCTCCAGCTGAATATTACATCTGTTTAAGAACCAGTATCTCTGGAAGACCTTATTAGTTTAGAGGGAAGCAAAAGGAAATCATACAACCACTCACCCCTCTCTTTCGCCCACTGCATAACCAAAACCAAAACCAATCCCAACCCCAAATCACCAGCTATGGTGGACTAAATTCAATAACCTCACCTCTTTCTGTTGGGGTATGTGTTTAAAACTGCTATAATTTTCTTTCTCTCTCAGCTCTTTCCAACATTCCCTACCACCACAAAAGGGTGAAAGATGAAGGCAGCTAAGTAAAACAAGAATGTTTTATTCTTAAGTTTTTGTTTAATATGTTTTTAAAGGACATAAACAGCACTGCTGGCAAACCGCTAGTAAACAAACAAACAAAATAAATAAATAGAAAAAAATCAACTCCAATCCCTACGCTTACATTAACCAGCTGGTTTTGTCTTGTCTTCTGTTCTTTCACAATCTTCTCCAATTTTAGTTCCCTTCCTCTTGCCTTTCATAAAGTACAATGTTGTATGCTACATCTTTTTTTCCTACAAAAGTGTTTCTTACCATTGCCCAGCCTCCTTAAGTTCTTGTTCTTCCATGAAGAACGATAAAATCATCAAGATACTTTTCTGAATAAAAAAATACTGAATGCAAACCTAATCAGTATCCCTTTAATTTTTTTCTGATGTTGCCAAAAGACTAATCAAAAAGCTCACCAGATATTTATGTGGGAAGTTAAAATAGGAAAAATAAATTGTAAACAGCTATTCAATATATTTAAAACTCCAGTTTGCATGTGTAATTGTCAAGTAAAAGGGTCAAGTATGGGGCTGTGCAATAATGATAGAATATCTCTACTTTTAACACAACATAATAGAATTTTTTACATAACATAATGTTAAACACTAATGAGTCAGTATGGTTACTGAAAAGAATATCTAAGACAAAACACACACATCATCAGACTGAAACCTCAATAATACAAATCCGCTGAACTGAGAAACTGAAGTTGACTATGACACCAAGCACCCAGATATAGATCTAAATCCCATAGGTCATATTTAACCCTGCTGTAGTACACGAAGACACACAGGATATCTTTTGCTCCTTTACAGCCTGTGCCTACCAAGAAACACAGCACTTACTGCTCGCACATTTACTAAACTGATTATTAATAAGAGTTCTTCATGTAACACCAAAAAAATCAAATCACATTCTTCTATTATTTTCTTAAATATTGTATAAAGCAAAACATATGCCTCCAAAATTAATCTAAAATCAGTTACAGTTCCTGTGACTTTTTATAGGACACAAATTGTCAAATAAATATAGACTCCTTTTACTATGCATGCTATCTCCAAGAAAATCTTCAATTCTTCAAATAAGCCATTCAACTTTGTAAAATTCAATGAAAATTCAAAATACTGCTCTAATTCTGATAACCCCTCTTTTAGCTAAGCTGGTTGGTTGATGGTGATTTCTCAGATAAGTTACACAATAATGTTTCTGTTTCCTGATTAGATAAGCAGATAAGTGGTTTTTTTTTTCTGGCACATTTATGCATAAAATTTTTCATTTTCTGTGAACACTTGCAACTTCGTAATCCCCTCTCCACAAATCTACACGCCAGTAAAAGTCAACCATGGATATACTGCATTTGCTAAAGGAAAATATAAAGTAAGTATTAGCATGCAAAAAGCAATTCCATCTACAAAACTGAACAAACGTTCAGGAAATTTCTCTCCCTCTGTGCTGCCTACATAGACACTGTAGAATAAAGGAAAGCATTGAGCAATATTTCTAAGGCTTTACTTCTGCCCTAAAGAGGGGCACAGGGGGCACGTGGCCTTGGTCCATCTCTTGCATTACAGAAATGAACAGCATAGCCAGACTGTGACCCCTTTGCCCAGAGATTTGCTGAGAAGTATCAAGCACTTTGGCAGGTGGAGATTTGGCAAGTGTTTCTCCCCACCACCACTGGGGAACGCTGCCTCACAGGTTCCCGTCTGGGTCAACAGGAGGAGGAAGAGCAGCCCATCACCCTGAACACATATAGTACACAACTAGAAAGGAGGCAGCAACACGGGGATGAAGCTAGCTGGAAGCACTTTTTGACATCTGACAATTTTTTTCTGCAAAACCAAAGTGAAACACCTTGTCATGGTCTGGAGGAGACCACCGTCTTCCCACCCCTTCCCCCCAACATGTTCTCCACACATAGTTTCACTAGTCTAAAAAGGCTCCTTGCTTAACTGCTTAGAAGGGAATGGCCACATAAATCTGGTCATATTGACTAAAGTTGACAAAACACAGACAAATATTACAAGAAGTAAATGCAGTGAGATCAGATTTAACACTATCTTTATCAAGCAGGACAGTAATTTCTGATACTTGAAGTCCTGTCCGTCCGTCATCCCCTGGTTATCTTATACAAGTAAAATCTGATTTTTCCAAGACACTGCTTACCATCTCCTGGCACCACAAAGGCCAGGAAGAAGGCCTACTCAGATAAGATTGCAAAGAAAAATGAGTTGGGTTTGGTATTAAGGTCTTCCATGACCACAACCCTTGTTTACGAACAAAGCAGACAAAAAAAAGTTGTCACACGACAGATGTGTGCAAGATCAGAATAAGAGCACAAGTGTTTCTGCAAATATATGAGCACTGTTTTCTGCAGACCAATCTAACTTAAAATTTTTCCCCACTTTTATTAAGAAGTGGAGATTAATAAGAGGCTCAGGAAGATTTATAGCGGGTATTCAGCCACACAAATGGGTGTGGTGAAAACACCAACATTGACACAGTGTTTAAGTGAATACACTAGAAATATTTCAACACATACTAATTTATTCAAACTTTGTGAAAGTTCTAAGTGATCGAAAGCAAGTTAATACTAGGAAGCAATAAAATTCTTAAAGCTTTTTATTTTCTAAATATAACAGTCAGGTTTGTTTTTTTAAACTGTATTCCAATGTAAGTACTATAAAGCTAGTAACTGCTTCACACCTGTCACTATCATAATGTAATGTTAGCAATCACGCTACACTTTGTTTGGAAATAATTTTTCTGGATAGCAAGCTTACATAGAATTCCTCTGACAGTCTCTAAACCCCCCAAAAAGAAACAAGGAGAAACTAGAGCTCATAATCTAAACTGAATTGTTCTAGGAAACAATTTGCATATTATGTATGACTAAGGAGTAGGGATGCGTTTCAATCTTTATGTCTCAAGTAAGCTTATAATAAGAATTTGTGTTCAAGGACTTCTAGGCGCAAAACATTTTATCTCAACAAATTAAGCTCCTTATGAAGGCCAAGCTCCAGTAGCAAGATTTTTATTCCATTACTTTTGAACCAAACATACACTCAACATTACTGACAGACATACAAATAGTTTGAGCCTTAAACCTTTTACCTATAAATATACTAAATGAAAATCCCAGTTGTGCCTCTAACTTATTTTTGGGATGGCAAAATAGAGAGGATCAGGCACGTAAGAATCAAGACAGGAACATAATCAAGCTTAGCATTTTTATAAAGGCCTTTCAAAAGGGAGGTTTTATGGTATTTAAAATAGTATTATTTAACGTGTACTCCATGCAATTTTATAGTTTACCACACATATCTATGTTACTGATTAATTCATTCTTTTTTCAAGAGCTTCTTTAGAAAACGTAAGATTCCTTTAAGCTGCCAAGATGCTAGAAATTAAATGCACGTGTAATGACAACTATAATATAATGAGAAACTTAACATCATTTCAGAATATCTATTATGACATTACAGGTAATAGCGGGATTTCTCTCAGCATTAGTAAGTCACACTGAAGTTTCACTATGATGGGATCATTCATTTTGAACTGACTTCACAAGAAATACTTCTCATGACAGAAAGGCTGTATATGCATACTGCTTTTTTAACAGAACAGAAACAAACAGAAAGTTACATGAAAATATGTCCCAAATAATTTCACTAGTTGCATTAGGTGTTACCCTAGCACGGATGTTAGCAACCCGCCTCACAAACAAAATGTGTAAATTGATTTGCCTACGCTCACCACTTAAGTTTCTCCTCTCGCAACTGACAGAACTGTGTCAGGCATGGCACATTAGCAAATACCATTAGCCTGAAATTTGCCTGTTCATACTTATGGTACCAGAAAACCTTACGGCCCAAACGACTCATTATATTTGGTTTTGCATAATATGCATGGTTTAGCCTAACGTAAGATAATAGATGTCGGCCACTCAGCTGACTAAGTCACACTCAGCAGTGAGAATGAAAGAATAAAATGCGACTTGAACTGAAGTGCATGAACTCAAAGATCATAACAGGTAATTTCTCTCCACAAGTGAAAATGTTTTTCCACTACAGTCACTAATGATAATATAACATTTAAAGTTGATGCACAGGTTTATATGCTTATCTTCACACAGACGCAAGTGAAACGTTGCACCAAGGGACAGGGTCCTTGAAAAAAATCCAATATGGCCACTGATGTGCAGTTGTCTTCTGACTTAAAATTGCCTTATCTTTTACCGTGTCTGTCAGTCGCACGCATACACCTGTTATACTCGTACTTCAAAAGAAGTTGACACAGTGACAGTCATCTGCGTGTATCCAACCCTGAAACACTCTTCACAGCAGAGAGGTCCATATACTATTAGACTACCCTGTCAAGGCCAAACCACAGTCATTCACAGTCACCAAGAGACAGACAGGTAGAGAGGTGTGCCAGCGCTATCCACTTACCTTCTTTATTAAGCCTCATAACCTCCCTGCTTTTTCCACCCTCCTTTCCAGTCTCTTCTAGATCTACACCTGCAGAAGAGAAGCAGAGTCAGGAAGCGCCGAGGGCCCAGAGGTGTGCATTTATTGTTTGGCGGGGGTGGGGGGAGGAGAGGTGAGGAGGTGAGCAGTGTTTCTATTTGCAACAGCAAAAGCACAATGGTCGGAGCATCTGCCAGGGAGCGGAACCGCCGGGCCCCCCGCGGCAGCACCCTCCGGCCCCCCCCGCAGCATCCTC